TATATATATATATACACACATAACTCCAGCAAATCTATAACTGACTGGAGTTTATCACGTTTATCATGTTAACTTTGTGAATCTATAACTGACTGGAGTTTATCACGTTTATCACGTTAACTTTGTGAATCTATAACTGACTTGAGTTTATCACGTTTATCAGGTAAACTTTGTGAATCTATAACTGACTTGAATTCACCATGTTCACCAATTTAGCCTACAGTGCGGTAAAATATTCGGGGCGCAACTTATCCTCAAATATATCTTTAACGGTTGAATCAGTGTCATCCCTACTTTGCATAGCAGTTTGTATCAATTTGTCTTAACTAAATCATATTTTCCCAGAACAATTGAGGCTGGATTAAAAAGACTTTTCTTCATTAATATTATTTATATCCAAATACTTGAAATCTCTGTCACACGTAAAATAGTATTGTTCACAGTGCATTCCGCTTCTCACACACATTTTGATATGGCCTACGCCACAGCTCATCAATGACAATTTTTACTTGCAAAACTTGCTAGAAGAAATTATTTCTATAGTGAACATATTTTTTTTGCCACTAATGGCTCTCGAAACATGCGTTCCATAAGCATAAGCATAAAGTCCCAATTAGAAAAATATGACGGACTTGCTAATACTGCCCCAGCTGTAAACATTTAAAAATCTTTAGAAACCACACTCTTGGGTTTTTTATTTGTATTTATTAAGGAATTTTCAAGAATACAGCTTGCAGGTATTTACAAAACAAATTGATACATGTCACTGTGCAAAAATTGGAGAACCTATTTTCGATAGCTGAGGAGATATTTGACAATAGGTCGTGCTACGAATTTTTGACCACACTATAGTAAATTTATAACTGACTTGAATTTATTATGTTTATCATTTCTGCCAAGAAAATTTTTAAGTGACTTGAATTTATCAGGTTTATCATGTTTGCAAAGTAAATATTTAAGTGACTTGAATTTATCAGGTTATTGAAACTACGACTCAAGTTTACCTTCGTTTTCCCGTCGTCCTCTGAGACAGAAGCAGCAACGGCCACGACTCGGTCTCGGTATAGGTAGCTGGCGTCGGGGTACATGCTCACGATATGCTCTCGGTTGTACTGGGAACCAAGAAATAGATGACTATAGTAGTGAAATCAGGCGCTCGTCAAAATAATGAAATTGAAAATACAAGCCGTTTCCCGCCAGTTTGGATAGTTACTGAGTGGGGATATATTTAGAGTATCTTGAAGGTATGTTGTATCCCTCTGAGTCTGGATTGGCCCTGACAGGCATGGTCAATGCCCGCCTCCTACGTGATCTACATGGTGTCGACGTGGGCTTAAAATCGCCTAAGTTTTTGAATTCAAAAGCTCTTCCTTTTCTCCTCTTCCAGGTTCAGTTCATCACTCTTTCCTTTTCTACTTTTCAGCTTCATTCACCCCCCCCCCCCGCTACCCCCGTTCTTCCGAACTATTATTTGCCAAACTAGGATAGTGTTATTGCTATTATCCTGTCTTCATATAATTCGCCTCAATTGTTTCAAGTTCGAATTATGTTCTCTAATGACTTTGAGAAATTATTTATATTTATTTGAACCTACCGTACGACTTGTTTTGATCATAAAGGGGACATCTGTTTTAAAATGTTATCTTGTCTAATCTATTTCTTTTTTTTTAAAGATTAGTCGGAGAATCCTTTAAGGTGAATTTCAGCCAAAATTCGGCTTGAACGAAAAACCATCTGAAGGAGAGTCAAAGAGAGAAAGAGAGAAAGAGAGAGAGAAAGAGAAAGAAAGAAAGAGAGAGAGAGAGAGAGAGAGAGAGAGAGAGAGAGAGAGAGGGGGGGGAGAAGGGAGATAGGAAATGGGGGAGGATGGAGGAGAGGAAA